GAGCTGGTCATCAAGGTTCGTTTTTTTTGTTGTTTTTTATCATTGTAGCTGCCCCAAAGTATGAGCATTCCACATTTCTTTACGCCCCCCCACGCACAGTTGAAAACTAATCCAAAGTCCCTCCTCCGTGACATCCTACATATCTTGCTCTGTACTAATTCTTCTGTACCTTTTTACCTTTAAATCATACAAAAAGAAGGAGCCAGAAAACTACCAGCACGTATTGACTTTGACAAGGAACTTCAACTGAGAAAAAAAATATTTACTGATTGCGGGGGTGAACTTCCACTATTGTAAATCGTGAGTAACAGTTTCTTTTTTTTTTTTTTTTAAAAAAGAAAAAAAAAAAAAAAAAAAAACTATTACCTTCAAGTAAAGCAACAGACCCTAATTCGCCACTATACCGATGGTTTATGCACACCCATACACACAGAGAGGAAGGGAAGTCCTAAGCCGTGGGCCAGCATCGGCACTTGGTGAAATCCCGCGGCTTACGCCGCTATCACGATTATGGTCGAAAACGCATACGCGGACCGGGCAAACGACTGCCGCCGAAGCCGCGAGCACGTGTACACACATACGTACGAGCCGTACCGGTGCAGCTGTCCAATTATTAATTACCAGAGCCATCGATCGGCCGCGCGCGGTTAAGCTGCCGGAGCGCTTCGAAAGCTTACTTAGTCGTTTCCCCCCTCCCTAGGTCCACTCTTGTATTGTGATGCTCGAGTTTGAGTCGTACATGTTTAAAAGCTCGAGAATGAAATTGCACTTTTGCTTCGGGACTTATTGATGAGGTTTGGGCAGTTGGATCGGTGGTGTATACCGATAGCAAGGTTGAACTTAAAGTGGGAGAAATCGTCAAGGAGTATGAATATAATAAATGCTTGAAAATAAACTCACTCCTTCGGGTTACCCATACGTAATATGTTTTTCTTTTTTTTTGCTGAGTCGTGGCTAATTAGAAGTGCCTGCTCTATCTCCCGTTTTGGTGACCTGATTTTCCCTGTAGCTATGTTCTGAAGCTGAACATTTTTTTTATCAAGATTCACTTACGGGCTGTTAGGCTGTGACTAAAGGAGAATCTTCAATAAAATGGCAATAAACTGAGTCGGAGAGCGAGTTGGGAAAGTTAATTTTTTAATACGTGTATTACGAGCCGTGTGAAATGGTTGCCACTGCTTATGAGTTGGTGAAGGAGTCAGTTTTCCTTGAGGCTATACTATTGGTCACACCAAGTACTTTGCGTAGGTACTTGTATATATATAAAAAAAAAAAAAAACATGTCAATTAATTTTGTATTTCTGTTTTGTTAAACGAAATTTGTATAATAATAATTTGTTCAATTTTATTTAAAAACGGCAATAAGCATCTAAAATCCAAAAAGGCTAAAGTTTATCAAAATCTGTCTACGGAATTTTGAAATATGACTGATTACACACACACACCCACACACACACGTGAGCACATATGGAGACACTTTTGCCAAATTACTCTTGTTTGGCTCTAAACTTCAGATAACACACTTATACAATGTTATCTCAACACGTGAAGCCAAAACATACCGAAGATAGTTCAAGCAGCGCATTTACACCCGTAAGGAATCTTGAAAAGCCGAAACTTCAATTCGTCGAGCTCGAATTGCTGCTTGCCGTGCGGTACCGTTAAAAATTGATGCAGCTTGTAGTCCTGCTGGCACGTGCCCAATGTGCACGTCTGGTTTGATCTGAATAAAATAAAAATAAAAAAAAAAAAAACGAATCACTCTCGATGAAATAGAACATTAGTTAAGTAAAACTTACAAGCACTCGACGGACGTTGCGTTTTGCTCGAATCCCGGGATGTTTATCATAGTGTACCGATTGCCGTCTTCGCCGATATCTTGCTGAGGCTGAATGACGCTAACCTGTTGTACATGTAATTTTTTAATGTTTTAACTAAAAAAATTGCGAGTACACGGTCGGCGATAAGAAAAATCGGTAAGAAGAATCACTCACACTCGTCTTGCATTTTGAAGCTGAGACTTTGCTATTATCCTGTAAAAAAATTGTACATTGAAATTGAATCATTAATTACACTATGGAAGGAGTACATAACTTACTGCGACTCCAAAAACGAGGATTACAAACAAAAACGCAATACGCGTCATCGTTGGAAGCGCAAACTCTGGAAACCAGCGAAATCGCAAATGAAGCTGCAGCCGATCGGTCTCGAGATCTTATATCGTTAAAAAATCCACGGCAAGCCCACGCGAGAGAGCTGCTCCTTTATTTTTCTCGGCCGCTCAGTTAATCGCTCGAGTGCCGGGGAACGTTGCGCAGATCGGCAAATTGCGTCACTCACGCGACCGATTAGCTAGAAAAATCTGTCCCGGCGTGTTTTCATAATCGACCAAATGGTCTCGTAATTTTTTTTTTTTTTTGTTATTTTGTTTTAAGTATACTTCTTAACTGCTATACAACTGCCACAAAAAAAACATAAATATTTACGTTACATCAAAGATTCCCGGAAAAATATTGATATACGCGTCTCCTTCAACATAGTGTGTTAACGCTACATTTATGCGATTGATTCAATAAAAACTCGAGACGGACGTTGAGGACATTAGGCTCTGCTCAAGATATCTATGTATTCCGCACTGAAAAGGAGAAAAATAATAAGAGATTTTCAAATCTTTGTTATTCAAGTTTTTTAATCGTTTCAATGATTTTCAATCCGCTTGAAAATCATTAAACCACATTTAGTAAAGTTAGAATTACCCTATCTACTGTATTTAGTAAAGTATAAAAAAATTTTCAAGATAATTGTACAATAAAAATAAAAAACTGTATGAAAAAAACTTGAAAATTTGTCAACCTAAAAAAGCTTAAAAAATCCAGTAGGTAGTTTCAACTCTACTCAACATGATTTGATAACTTTTAAATAAAGTAAAACCATAAAATTGTTTGAAAAAAAAAATTTTTTTTCTCTAAATAGTTGAAAAATCCCACGTTATTCGAATGGGACACCATAATGAATACTATGGCACGTATTAATTTAATTTTTGTTCCGATTACATAATTTATTATTTTGATTTAAGACTACAATTTAGAGATTTCGGAAGATATATGTGACCAAGAAATAAAATCAAGTACCAAAATATGATGAAAAAAAAAAAAAAAAAAAAAAACTATTACCTTCAAGTAAAGCAACAGACCCTAATTCGCCACTATACCGATGGTTTATGCACACCCATACACACAGAGAGGAAGGGAAGTCCTAAGCCGTGGGCCAGCATCGGCACTTGGTGAAATCCCGCGGCTTACGCCGCTATCACGATTATGGTCGAAAACGCATACGCGGACCGGGCAAACGACTGCCGCCGAAGCCGCGAGCACGTGTACACACATACGTACGAGCCGTACCGGTGCAGCTGTCCAATTATTAATTACCAGAGCCATCGATCGGCCGCGCGCGGTTAAGCTGCCGGAGCGCTTCGAAAGCTTACTTAGTCGTTTCCCCCCTCCCTAGGTCCACTCTTGTATTGTGATGCTCGAGTTTGAGTCGTACATGTTTAAAAGCTCGAGAATGAAATTGCACTTTTGCTTCGGGACTTATTGATGAGGTTTGGGCAGTTGGATCGGTGGTGTATACCGATAGCAAGGTTGAACTTAAAGTGGGAGAAATCGTCAAGGAGTATGAATATAATAAATGCTTGAAAATAAACTCACTCCTTCGGGTTACCCATACGTAATATGTTTTTCTTTTTTTTTGCTGAGTCGTGGCTAATTAGAAGTGCCTGCTCTATCTCCCGTTTTGGTGACCTGATTTTCCCTGTAGCTATGTTCTGAAGCTGAACATTTTTTTTATCAAGATTCACTTACGGGCTGTTAGGCTGTGACTAAAGGAGAATCTTCAATAAAATGGCAATAAACTGAGTCGGAGAGCGAGTTGGGAAAGTTAATTTTTTAATACGTGTATTACGAGCCGTGTGAAATGGTTGCCACTGCTTATGAGTTGGTGAAGGAGTCAGTTTTCCTTGAGGCTATACTATTGGTCACACCAAGTACTTTGCGTAGGTACTTGTATATATATAAAAAAAAAAAAAAC